GCTGCGCTCGGCCCCGAGAGGCCCCAAGACGGCACAGGAGATGGCCCCACGAGTGTTCCCGAAGGTACCACTTAGAGATACCTGGCCGTTTCTCCCGCTCTCAACCTCCATATTCTCTTCCTCCTCCTCCACCTCCTCCTGCTCCTCCTCCTCCTCCTCCTCCTCCGCCTCCTCCTCTTCTCATCCCTTCACCCTGCATCCTTCCTTACGATCAACTCCTCGTCGAACTACAAGACGTATCGGTAGGATGCGACGGGCTTTTCGCTTCAGCCTGAGATTTCCTCGCCGCTGATGATGCTGAAGCTTTACAACTCCAACAGCTACGCGGATGTAGGGCGAGACGTGCTCGCATTAGCGTTGTGCCGCATTCATTTCACAAGTTTCTAACAGCTGGAGGGGTGGACGACGGATGGTCTGGAAATAGGCTCTTGAGTCAGCGCCGCGCAGATTCGTTTGAAAAGCTTCCAGCTGTTGCACGGACGGACCGACGGAGGGCGGCTTTTTTTCAACATGGGGTTCTGGTTTGATATCTCCTCGAACGTGATATATCCTCGAACGTGCGCGACCTATACATCGGCGAAGGGTGACACATTTGTTTGAATCGAGTTATCGCTTGAGACATTCCCAAGTCCTACGACCAGAACTGCTAATGCATTCGTGCATTCGCCAATTACACTGGCGGCAAGCGTTTCATTCTCAAGTTGGTGTTTTCGTTGTACACTTCCCCGCACTTTGTGATTATACCTCTTCGCATTCCGTATATATCTGATGATGCGGGGCAGACCAATTTCAAACCAGGGCTCTCACTTGAATGCAGTCTTGTGAGGCGTTCGTCTTTTGAGAGAGCGCTTCCCAGAAAGCCTCTAGGAATTTCTGAGGAAGGGATTTGGGACAGGGTGGTGTATTGCAGCATCGTTGATATATACTGGGGTGGTCGTTCCTCCTCTCTCCATCACCACCTCCCGCCTCTAGCCTCATCCGTCCCTCCATCGTTCCTCCCGCATCCCTCGTCCCTTGTCCCACGTGCCTCACCAATTCCGAGAACGGGTCGCAGGGCCGCAGGGCGCATACATGTGCACGTCATCCTCGAATATTATCTCAGCTTGGGGGCTGTCCAGTAGGATCTGGTGGACGACGAGGAGCAGGAAGCAGAGCAGGAGGAAGAGGAGCCGCCCTCCATCCTTGTAACTGCGGCACACGTCTGCAATTCTGGTTATTAGCGAGAGCCTCATTCCGAAAAAGAGCTGTCATCCGCAAATGTCCAAGTTGAACTATGCTGGTCGCAAAACCTGGGGAGGTATCAAGCTAGAGCCACACACTGCAAAGGAGCCGCCATCCATACGTGTACATATGTGAAAAGGGGAGGGAGGGTGAGCAAGATCAGGGGTGGTGGAGGTGGAGGTGGAGGAGAAGGTCAAGTTGCCAAGAGGAACGCCACAAGTTATCTCGCGCACTCCGTCCCGCCCTCCCACTGTAGAAGTACCACCCGAGGCTCAGCTAAGGCATCGGTCGCCATCCAATGCACAGCCATTCGGGAACCGATGAAAACGCCAGGTGCGCGAAGCTCGCGAGGTCGAGGTGCACCACGCGCGCCGGGTGCCCAAGGGGCCTGAGCGCGCCATATGTGCGACGCGCGTAGAGTGCGGCAGCTGTGCCAGCACACGTGACAGCACACGTCGGCCAATATGTTGACATCGGGCCATGACAGAGACGAATGCAAGGTGACAGCGGGGTGCTTCGCATCGCGTGCGGTGCGTTCATTATGGATTACGTTGCATTTGACGTTTACAAGGATGGTGGGCCAATGCGCAGCGGAAAACATGCTCCCCACCACCTCCGGCAAAAACTCTCTCGCAGGACCAGACGTGATGGCCTTCCGCATGTTCATCCAGCAAGTGGCATCCGCATGCTCCGCTTGTGAGTGCAGCCGTGCGTGTTTTCAGCTTACTAATAGAATCTGGGTCAACGCCGCCAGAAGCTGGCCCCAGGCGGGCGATGTACACAACGCTGTCGGCTGGGAGGACATTCGCGAGCAAGCTGCCCGCACAAGGTCGCCTTCCTCTTCGAGCGATGTGCCGCGCTGGCGGCCTCCGTAAGCCACCGTCTAAGGTCGCCACGTCCTCTCTCGTAAGGACCTTTGCGCTTCAACTCGAAATTCAGAAGAGCGCTTTCTGTGAGCGCTTGGAGGGGGTGGGGTGGAACTGACCCCCCCCCTTCTCCCGTGACGGAGGGGGGAGGGGTTCAAACCCCCCCCCCCTCGCCTCCCTCCTCCCCTACTTCCCCTGACTCTCTCCCTCTCCTCGGGCCGGCGCTGGCGTCGGCGGCGGCTGGCGGCGGCGGCGCCGGCGTCTCTTGGGGCCTCTCTAGACTGGTGGTGGTGGTGGTGGTGGTGGTGGTGGGTGGTGGAAGTGGTGGCGGTGGTGGTGGAGGAGGTGGTGGTGGTGGTGGTGGTGGTGTGGTGGTTGGTGGTGGTGGTAGTTGTGGTGATGGTGGTGGTGGTTGTGGTGGTGGCGGTGGTGGTGGTGTGGAGTTTGATTGTGGTGGTGGTGGTAACTGTGGTGGTTTTATTGTGGTGGTGGTGGTGTTGGTGGTGGTGGTGTGGTGGTTTGTCGTGGTGGTTGTGGTGGTGGTAGTGGTTGTGGGGGGAGGTGGGTTGTGGTGTGGTGGTGGTGGTTTTGTGGTGGTGGTGGTATGGTGGTTTGTGGTGGTGGTGAGGGCGGTGGGTGGTGGTGATGGTGGTGGTGGTGTTGGTGGTGGTGGGTTGTGGTAGTGGTGGTGCTTTTGGCGGTGGTGGTAGTGGTGGTGGTGCGGTGGTCTGTTGTGATGGTGATGGTGGTGGCGGTGGTGGTGGTGGCAAGTTGTGGTGGTAGTGGAGGTGGTGGTTGTGGTGGTGGTGGTGGTGTGGTGGTTTGTGGTCGTGGTGGTGGTGGGGTGGTTGTGTGGTGGTTTGTGGTGGTGGTGGTGGCGTGGTGGTTTGTGGTGGTGGTGGTGGTGGGTTGTGGTGGTGATAGTGGTGGTGGTGGTGTGGGTGGTGGTGGTGGTGGTGTGGTGGATTGTGGTGGTACGTGGTGGTGGTAGTGGCGGGTTCTTGTGGTGGTGGTGGTGGCTGTATGGTGGTTTGTGGTGGTGGTGGTGGGTTATGGTGGTGGTGGTGATGGTGGTGGTGGCGGAGGTGGTGGTGGCGTGGTGGTTTGTGGTGGTGTTGGTGCTGGTGCTGGTGCTGGTGCTGGGTGGTGGCTTGTGGTTGTGTTGGTGGCGGTGGTGGTTGTGGTGGTGGTGGTGTGGTGGTACGTGATGGTGGTGGTGGTGGTGGGTTGTGGTAGTGGTGGGTTGTGGTGTCGGAGATGGTGCTGGTGTGGTGGTTTATGGTGGGTGTTGTGGTTGTGGTGGGTTGTGGTGGTGGTGGTGGCGGTTGTTGTGGTGGTGGTCGTGTAGTGGTTTGTGGTGGTGGTTTCGGTGGTTGTGTTGGTGGTGGTGGTGGTGGTTCTGGTGGTGGTATCGTGGTTTGTGGTGGTGGTGGTAGGGTTGGCGCTGGTGCTGGTGCTGGTGCTGGTGCTGGTGCTGGGTGGTGGGTGGTGGTGGTGGCGGTGGTGGTTGTGGTGGTGGTGTGGTGGTACTTGATAGTGGTGGTGGGTTGTGGTGGTGGTGGATTGTGGTGGCGGTAATGGTGGTGGTGTGGTGGTTTATGGTGGGTGTTGTGGTGATTGTGGTGGGTTGTGGTGGGTTGTGGTGGTGGTGGTGGTGGCGGTTGTTGTGGTGGTGGTGTAGTGGTTTGTGGTGGTGGTGGTTTCGGTGGTTGTGTTGGTGGTGTTGGTTCTGGTGGTGGTGGTGGTGTCGTGGTTGTGGTGGTGGCGGTGTGGTGGTACGTGGTGGTGCTGGTGGGTTTGTGATGGCGGTGGGTTGTGGTGGCGGTGGTGGTGGTGTGGTGGTTTATGGTGGGTGTTGTGGTGGTTGTGGTGGGCTGTGGTGGGTCGTGGTGGTGGTGGTGGCGGTTGTTGTGGTGGTGGTGTAGTGGTTTGTGGTGGTGGTTTCGGTGGTTGTGTTGGTGGTGGTTCTGGTTCTGGTGGTGGTGGTGGTGTCGTGGTTTGTGGTGGTGGTGGTGGTAGAGTTGGTGGTGGTGGTGCGGCATTCAGGTCTTCCCGCCACCGCGTCTTGGCTTTGGATCACAGTTCTAATTGATGCCTCTTGGGGTCTCGTCAGAGGCGTCTCGGTGGCGTCTGAGGAGCACGTGTGAGGGCTCCTGGGCGCCTCTTGGGCGTCTCCTGGAACTTACCAAGGGCCCCCAGTGGCTTTTGGGGAGCGATGGCTCGATCTGGCGATGTGTATTTTCCCGCTGCGGCCTCTGGGCTCTCTCTGGTCATCGTCGCTGCGTTTTGCCGTTGGTGCTGCCGGCCACCGCCAGCGCAGGCGCCAACACCGGCACCGAGGGATGAGGGGGAGGTGTTTGAACCCCCCCCCTCCAGAAGCCAGAAGAGAAAAGATTGAGGGATTTATAATCCCTACACCTTCCTTTCCCGGGAGGGGGCGGAGGTTGAACCCCCCCCTTGGGAGGGAAGGGGGACGGGGAGGGGTTAGGAGGGAGGGGAGTCCCCCTGGTTCTGATCGACGGCGCCGAGTGTTGGGGGGGGCCCCCCCCGTTTCGAAACGCGCCGCCGAATGTTCCCAAGGCAAGCGCCCGTGAAACGCGCTCTCTCCTAAATTCGGACACCGGACCTCTCCAGGAGTACGATCGGGCCAGAATTTTGCGGCGGATGGCGACGAGAGCCCTCTCGGAGGCCCAAAAAAGGCCACAGAGCCTCGTGCCTCGAAGTTTGAAGTTCGAACCTCCTCCTCCTCCTCCTCCCCCTCCCCCTCCCCTTCCTCCTCCTCCTCCTCCCCCTCCCCCTCCTCCCCCTCCTCCTCCTCCTCCTCCTCCTCCTCCTCCTCCTCCTCCTCCTCCTCCTCGCTGAGGGAGTGGTCTGGGGAGGACTCGCGCTCCCCTTCGGCCTTCCTGCCCGCAGGCCGCGGCCAGCAGCAGGCGCCTGGCGGAGATGGAGGGCGCTCGGCCTGGGCGCGCACCGGGAGAGGCGGCGCCCGAGCCCCCGGCGGCGCCCGCCGCCTGTCCGACGGCCCGCGTTCGCCACGAACGTCGGCGATCCAAAGATTCGAGTAGGAGATCGACCACAGAAATTGATGTACCTCAAAACTGCTGTTTCATCGAATCTGCGAAAATATGCCGAATGCTCGTAGATCTACGAACATTGTACGTATTAGTTCGTATATGAGAGAAGACGCCGTGCACGTCAGAGGTGCATGGGCAGGAAAAGTAAGCGCCGACGCTAGCGCCGCCAGACGCTGTGAAACTATGAAGCCACCCGGCGTCGCCAGTTCCACGGGCAGGTGGTCTCTAAAAATCTGTTCGTGCAAGCCCTTCTCGCCAGGAGGCCCCCAGGTGGACGACCCGGGAGAGCGACCGGGAACGACAGCCGAGAAGGAGGGAGGAGGTCGAGACCTGGGCGACAGACCGAGGGACGAGCGGGAGGCAGAGCAGGCAGAGGAACGATGCAGGACGGCGGAAGAGGGGGGGAGGACGACACCACCTGGGGTGGGGCGGCATTCAGGCTTTGGCGTTTCATCCCTAGGGCACATGACAAAATTGACATATGAGGACCCCTGCCGGGTGAGTGGCCGTAAAAGACGGGGACGGGAAGGGGAGGCGGGGGAGAGGCAAAGCTTATGTCAAGAAGAAATGGCTGGCAGCTGCCTGCCACTTTGCTGGTTCGTAGATTTGGCCAGAAAAGTTTGGGGGAAATCAATGTTGTAGTCGATATCCTACTCGAGAGATGGGGCCCTGAAGGATGGGACCCCAAGGACGAAGAGCCTCGAACAGTGCAAACTCAACTTGGGATCCCTTCATATCCTCAGGACCCCATCCCTCAGGTCCCCATCTTGGACTGCCGAAAAAAAGACGGGTCCTAGAGGTTCTTCCCCTCGTCTCTCCGGCCTTCCGCGGGACCTTGCGGGTCCCCAGAGCCGTTAGAGAGCGACCCAGGATTCGGAACTGGAATGTCTTGCGGAAATCCGTGGGTCTCCAGGACCCGTTCCCTTCGGGACCCCTTCCCTCCAATGTAACGCGAGGGGCCTTTCGCGCCGCAATTGCTTCTGGGATCGTCCCGAGCTGCCCTCTCTGATCCGACCTGCGGCCCAAGAGGGCCCAGAGCTCCAGCATCATCAGAAAAAGTCCAAACGGTGGAGGCTTCAGAGTTCAGGCTTCCAGAGGCCCGTGTCGGGCCCCGGGGCCAACGAACACTTTTTGGGCCCGCGGGCGCAAGAGGATCAGACGCCAGTCGAGCAACGGGAGGGACACTCCAGAAGCGAGTTGGGCACTAAACAGGAACGGACAGAGAGGAAGGAAGCGCGGGGGAGGCGGAGCCGCGATCAGAACGTGTAGCTCTTGCATGCGAGTGGCGGAGATGCACAGAGGCGTGGAAGACCGAGCCCACGAAGAGCAGGGACAGGTATAGTGGGATGATCATGCAGGCAAAGCCGAACAAGCCCGCAGGACCCAGCAAATTTGAAGGTAAGGGGGCCAGCAGAAACAACCCGCAGTGCGAAGTCCACGCGAAAGATTGGGCTGAGAGCTCCAGAGCCTCACGCAGCGGGGGGGAGCATGACACCAGAGGCCTGAAGCAGGGGAACGTCTCTGCCAACTCGTGCTTACCTGCGGGCAGCAGCCAACGCCACACGCAACCAGCACATACCGCTCATGGGTCTGCCGAGCCTGAGCGCCGGCCTCGCTTGCGTACCCTCCTCATCCTCCTCCTCCTCCTCCTGCTCCTCCTCCTCTTATGTCTTCCTCCTCTCTTCTGAAATTTCCTTATCATAATCTTCCCCCTCTACCTCATCCTCCTCCACCATCCCTCCTCCTCGTCATTATCTCTTCTCTTCTCTCCTCATTTTTCTTCCGCCCCACCTGAGGCGGCTAATGCTCTGAGGCGCCCAGCAAATAAAGGATGGCAAGCCGTGCGACCCGTTCGATTGACACCGAGTGGCCATCTCTGCGCTGCGGCTCTTCTCTAAAACCTGTTCCTGGGGTACTTGGCGACAGTGGGGTGGGGGTGGCTCACTTGTCGGAGCAAGGGAGCCTCGTGAGAGGCGTATTCGGCTGCATGACAGCAGTGTTCGGACAATCCTCGCCTGAAAGCGAACATACAGGACCTTATGCAAGCCCGTATGCCCCTAGCCCAGGGAGATGAGAGCGTGTGTCCGCCAACTGTGGATGTCAAGGCCCTCCCAAGGGAGGAAAGCGAGCCTTATTGCCAAGACCTTACGGCTTGTGCCACCGACCTTGCTGAAGGCGGGACCTCCCCAAGGACCTTAGCTGGCGACCCCTCCGCAGGACCCCCCGGGACCCCATGGGGGCGACATTCTGACCCAGGACCCGCCCCGCCCCACCCCCCAGTCTCCCGGCAGGGAAGGGATCAAAGAGAAGGGGCTTCCCATCGATTTAAGTACGACGTTCATTTTTGTTTTGTTTCTCAATTTCCGTGGGACTGGCGGCGACGACGACGACGACGACGATTACACGACAGCAGCGTCTTCCACACGCCGAAGGGTCGGTGGATTGCGCCCTGGGAGCCAAAAGCGACGGGGGCCATTTTGGCTCCAGTTGCACCTGAGGCTGATCAGTCGAGTTGAGTGTCCTTCCATGCGCATCATGAAGATTTACCGACGCCTCTTAAATATCCAAGGCAGTATCCAGCTGCCTGCGGCAAGCTCTGCCGACGCATCAGATCAGCATTCTGCGTGGCGACTGTTCGAGGGGGCACGGGAGGCCGTGACGTGTGACACGGTGGCGCCTCGTGTCTCCATGTTTGATAGAGCCATGATTGGGGTTATGGGGATGATGATGATGATGATGATGATGATGATGATGATGATGATGTTGACGATGATGATGATGATGATGATGATGATGATGATGATGATGATGATGATGATGATGATGACGGTGATGATGATGATGATGATGATGATGATGATGATGATGACGATGTTGACGGTGCTGTTGGTGATGATGATGGTGATGATTATGATGGTGATGATGATGTTGCTGATGTTGATGATGATTATTGTGATGCTGCTACTGGTACTGATGATGATGCTGATGTTGATGACGACGGCGATGACGACGATGACGATGACGATGACGATGCTTCTGATGATGATGATGATGACGATGTGGATGAGGAGGAGGATGAGGATGGGAATGAGGATGAGGATGGTGATGCGGATGCTGATGCTGATGATGATGATCGTGGTGATGGTGGTGATGTTGATGGTAATGATGTTAATGGTAATGAGTATGATGATGATAATGGTGGTGGTGAAGGATGAGGATGAGGAGGAGGAGGACGCCGATGATGACGATGACGATGATTATGGCGATGACGTTTAGTATGATGATAATGTTGTTGATCATGAAACTGAGGATGAAGTTGGTGATGATGATGATGAGGAGGAGGAGGATGAGGGCGATGATAACGATTATAAGGAGGAGGAGGAGTAAGAGGAGGATGAGGATGAGGATGATAATGATGATGATGCTGATGATGATGATGATGATGGGGATGATGATGGGGATGATGATGGGGATGATGGTGATGGTGATGGTGATGGTGATGGTGATGGTGATGGTGATGGTGATGGTGATGGTGATGATGATGATGATGATGATGATGATGATGATGATGATGGTGATGGTGATGGTGATGGTGATGGTGATGGTGATGGTGATGGTGATGGTGATGGTGATGGTGGTGATGATGAGGAGGAGGAGGAGGAGGCGGAGGAGGAGGAGGAGGATGAAAGGGAGGAGGAGGAGGAGGAGGAGGAGGAGGAGGAGGATGAAAGGGAGGAGGAGGAGGAGGAGGAGGAGGAGGAGGAGGGAATTCGTTTGGGTCGTCTTGGGGCTGTCTTGGCCTTCTGTGAGGCAGCCTTGGGGGTTCCTTTGGGCCCTATCGGGCCGTCTTAGGACCCTCAAACGCTGATTTGGGGATCTGTTGGGCCGTCTTGGGGCCCCCTCTTGGCCGTATGGTGGGTGTCTGGGGGCCTTGGTGGGGCCGTCTTGGGGCGTCGAAGGGCTTTCTAAGGACTTTGTGGTCACACGGGAGGCCGTCTTGGGGCAGTCTTGGGTGCCTCGCGATCGTCCTTGAACGCCGTTCCTAGAGAGGAAGGTTCTGGGCAGGCGGCTTCCTAGTCGCCATGGCTGGATTCGAGGATGCGTCGCGACTGGCCGATTTGCGTTCGCCCGAGTCCGAGGCGGGATATCAAGTGTCGGCATTCGCTCCCGAGGGAGTCGTTGCGCCCTCCCTGGCGGCCCGAGGGCCTGGTCAAGGGGGCGCAGGGTCGCTGGCTTCAGTGGGGGCCCGTTGGAAGCCCTTGAGGGCCCCTGCACGCCCCATGCTGGCAGATGCTGGCGTTTATTAACGGCGAGGGTGCCCCAGGAGGGCGCTTGGCAGGACGATGCTTCGTCTGCGGGCCGTGGGCTCTTGGCTGGCGTCGCCAGCTTCATCCAGGGAGCCAGCAGGGAGCCCCAGATTTACCCAGGGAACCGCAGGGAGTCCCGGATTAATCCAGGTGGCGGGGATTAATCCTGCGGGGAAATGCACAAGGAGGTCTTGTTTCTGCAGGAGTTGTTGTGCTTCTCGGGAAGGCATTCCAGAAAAGAAAGGCCATTCACGGAGACCAGCTGGTATGGTTGACCCTTTTTTCCCAGGGCCATAAAGAGGGCAAGTCCACGCAGGGCTCTGTCCGAGGACAACCCTTCCCAGGGACATCCCCACCCCTTCCGAGGGTCCCTGCCTGAGGGCAAACGCCTGCAAGGCTCTGTCCGAGGACACCTTCCCAGGATCACTGGCCAAGAGCAAACCTACGCATGGCTCTGTCCGAGGACACCCCTTCCCAGGGTCCCTGCCCGAGTGCAAACCCACGCAGGGCTCTGTCCGAGGACATCCCTTCCCAGGGTCCCTGTCCGAGGGCAAACCCATGCAGGGCTCTGTCCGATGACACTCCTTCCCAGGGTCCATGCCCGAGGGCAAACCTACGCAAGTCTCTGTCCGATGACACCTCTTCCGAGAATCGCTGCCCGAGGACAAACCCATGCAGGTCTCTATCCGATGACACCCCTTCTCAGGGTCCCTGCCCGAGGGCAAACCCTCGCAGGGCTCGGTCCGAAGACACCCCTTCCCTAGGTCCCTGTCCGAGGCCAAAGCCACGCGGAATTCTTCTCGAGGAAAGTCCCACAATCAGGGGCGGAGTCCTCTGGAGTATTCTGACGTATTCTGCCTTCTCCCAGGGCCCCACGTGCAAAGTCACGTGAGAACCAAGGACGACCTCTTCCCAGAGGGTCCTTGCCCGAGGGCAAGTCCACACAGGGCTCTGTCCGAGGACACTCCCTTCTCAAGACCCCTGGCCATGGGAGAGCCCACGCAAGGGTCGGCCCACCAATGGCAGCGCCATTGGTGACCAGCAATACGAAAAACAGGTAAGCATATTTTCTGGTCACCTTCGTTCTACTCAACGAACGCACGGGGTAGGGCTCTGTCCGAGGACACCCCGTCACAGAGCCCGTGCCCGAGGGCATGCCCACGCAGGGCCACACCCCTTCCCAGGGTCCCTGCCCCTAGGACAAACCCTCGCAAGGCTTTGCGGAGCTCCTCGGGTGCGCGGCCTCGTCCGCCATGTCTTTACCAGTTGGGAGCAAGCTCCTGGTTTTGCTAGGCCGATGGGCCAGCACTCGCCCCTCCGCCCCGTTGGGCTGCCTGGGCTAGGCGGCGCGCCGCCACTACCGCACAGAGGCCCTCGGGGTCTTCGATACGTGCGGGCCCCGCAATTCACACCGTCATTCATTCTCTCTCCTCGCGCCGCCCCCTCCGTCTGTGAAACGGGGGCGAGGGCTTGGTTGGTCCACGAGCCCGAGCCGTGCTACCCTGCTGCGTGACAAATGTGACCTCGTGCGCCGGTCAGTGGTGGAGAAGAGGGCATCCCGATGCCCTCCCTCCCTGGTGGGTCTGGTGCGTCGGCCGGTGGGGTCTCGAGGTCACGGTAGGGTCTCTTGAGTGCCCTTGGCCGGCCGCACCGAGTGCATTGCCCAATTGTCCGTGCGAGCGCATTGGACCACCTCAGGGGGAAGCAGCCCACCATAGTCTCCGGCCATCGTGGAGTCCTCTTGGGCCGTCTTGAGATGACGGCAGCCCGACAAGGCGAGAATGCGAGCATCATTCAAAAACCAAAGGGAAATCAACGATTCTGGCTTGGTCGGACCCTGTGGGAGGTCCTCCTGTGGCCCTTTTGGGCCCTCTTGGAGGCATCTTGGGCCGTCTTGAATCATTATTCAATCAATATCGGCCGCCTTGGGGCCATCTTAGCCCGTCTTCGAGGCATCTTGGGCCATCTTGGTGTCCTGCCTACACGGGCCGCCTTGGAAGCTCGGAACGCGTATCCATTGTTTAAACTCGGGACAGTGGCTTGGGTGGCCCCGAAGCGCTTGGGAGCAGCGCCTGGGAATGCAGGAATTGCACGATCCTGGAGTGGGATAAGGGGTCTAGGAGTTAGCAGCCATGCGGGAAGTGCACTGCCCTCGAGCGGGCGCGCATCGAATGAGAGTTGAGGGCGTTAGCTGCCATGAAGGAAGTGCACAATCCTCGAGCGGGCACGCGTTGAAGGGGATTCAGGCATTAGTGGCCATGCGGGAAGTGCACTGGGCATGCGTGGAATGCGGGTTAAGGCATTGGCTGCCATGCTGAAAGTGCACCATCCTCGAGCGGGCACGAGGGAAGTGACATCGGAAAGGAGGGGCGGTGCACGCAGGAGTCTGCGGGCAGGGATGGGGAGGACCCCTTCTTAAAATTCAAAAACCCTACCAGGCAGACCTTAGCATTCTTCCACACCTCAGCGTGCCAGGGGCACGGTGGCGAGTCGCGGCAGATTGGTTCGATGGCCAACGCGCCATATCTAACGAGATTGATTGAACCATTTATCAAACGATGTCCACCATTTGTAAGACGTGTAAGGTGCTCTTCTTTGGGGTGGGAAAGATCTTCGCTTGAAACGCTCGGCGAGCTTAGCTAGGGAGATGTGACAGGAATATGACCCTCCATACGTCCCTTGTTGGTACATCCATCATGATAGATGCACCTGCTGATTGAGAAGGTTTCAGCTCTCACGAAGATGTCATTCCTGGGGTCATGCAGGAGCCCGACGATTTTCGGGCATGAGTTTCATACGTCCTGGGTGGAGGGTTCGGGGATGCCCGTGGAATTCTGTACCAGATGTGGACACTACGGCCCACCTGAAGCGTTCAAGCTGGGGCACAGCAGGCGCGTTGTCTTTCGTATGGATCACTGGTTCTGCTGGGGCACGAGCAGGAGGGAGGGAGGAGGAGCGGGCGGAGAACGAAGGCTGCCACGACGCTGGCGGCGTCCAGGAGCGCTCGACCCCCTCCGCCCAGGAGGCCTCGCTGGCCACGCCGACGAAGAGCCGGCTGGCTCCGCTGGACGAGTCGCCAGAGAAGGAGCCCGAGCCCGAGGCCGCACGGGCGGCGGCCGAGGCTGTCGACGCGAGAGAGTCCGAGAGTCCAGGGGGAATGGGAGAAGGGCTCCTCTTCTTCTCCCTCCCTGCTTCCTTCCCTCCTCCATCCGCCGAGGACGACGACGAAGACGACGACGACGACGGCGACAGCGGCGGCGGCGGCGGCGACGATCCGCGGGCAAGCAGCGCAAGGCAGGCGGTGCCTGAGGGCGACGAGCAGGCGCAGGTCGCGCTCCAGGGCGGCGGCCCCAGGGCGCGACCCAGGATGGTGGTAGTTACTCGTGGGCCACTGTCGCGGGGAAGCGCAAACATGCGTTAACGCGCGTGGATTAGCGCCGCCAAATCCACGGATCAGGAATCGATGTTAGCGCGTGCCCGGCCGTGGCGAGGGGGAACGTGGCGCTCGTCGAGGCGAAAGTGGGAGTACGGCACGTTCGTGTCGTATCGACGCGGTGACGACCCCAGCGCAGGCGGTGAAAATTGACACCGCCAGCCCGAAGTCGGCCGGTATCGAGCGATTTGCGTTATTGGCAGCCGCGGTCGTTCATGGTTGAGTGAACCATCCGCGAGGTGTCAGAAGCCAACGCCGACGTCACGACGCGAACCCGCCGTAGGGGCAGTAGCCCAGCTGTGAGCCCAGGGCGGCAGCGGGGTCGTTGGCACAGGTTCTCCTAGGTTGCTTCTCCCAAGAGCTCCGATTTCCCAGCTCCGCCCCCGCCCCACTCCCCAACCACCACTCACTCGGTGGCCCAGCCAGCCAGGCGCGGTCCCTTGCTGTCGAGGGCGCAAGGGACGAAGTGGACAGGAAGGGAGCTTGGGCCAGGAGGGCGTAGGGGACCAAGGGGTACCAGGCCGGGCCTTTCGAGGGCGCTGCGAAGGGACATCAGAGGGGGTGATCTCGATTGGGGCGCAGAGGCCAAGAAGACACCTCACTCTGCCCTGCCCCACAGTTTTAACAACCTGTGAAATCGACCTACCTTCTCATGCCCCTGTTCAGTTGTTCCAGTCATGTTATCAAGGTCTTCATGCTCCTCCTCTGCCTCCCTTCTTTTTCCTTATGTCCAAGTATTCCCTGTCGCACCCCGAAGCGTGTCGGTCGGGCGGGCCGGCCGTTTTGCTTGCGGCTTCCATAAGTTGAAAGTTCGCAACAGCTTCACTGATGGAGGGCGGGCCGTTTTCGAAATGCTCCTCCTCCTCCTCTTCCTCCTCCTCCTGCTCCTCCTCCTCCTCCTCCTTCTCCTCCCCCTCCCCCTCCGCCTCCGCCTCCGCCTCCGCCACCGCCTCCTCCGCCTCCTCCTCTTCCACCTCCTCCTCCTCCTCCTCCTCCTCCTCCTCCTCCTCCTCCTCCTCCTCCTCCTCCTCCTCCTCCTCCTCCTCCTCCTCCTCCTCCTCCTCCTCCTCCCCGTCTTCCTCCTCCTCCTCCTCCACCTCTTCCTCCTCCTCTTCCACCTCCTCGCCCTCCTCCTCACCCTCACCCTCCTCGCCCTCCCCCACTCCCACTTGTCATCGCTCATCACGCGTCCTCCTCCCCCATCATCATCCTCAACGTGTCCTCGCTCATCACGCGCCCCTCTCCTTTTTTCATACGCTCCTCCATTTGCCTCCTCCCTCAAAGCCGGCCTTCTCTACTTCTCCCGGAGCGCGTTCTGACCAGGGCGGATCCAGCTGCGGCGACGCGCCCCCCCCCCGCCCCACCGAAGGCCTGCAAGAGGAGGGGTAAGAGGGAGGAGGAGGAGGAGGAGGAGGAAGAGGAAGAGGAAGAGGAGGGGGAAGAGGGGGAGGGGTAAGAGGGGGAGGAGGAAGAGGAGGAGGAGGAGAAGGAGGAGAAGGAGGAGGAGGAGGGCCAGCATGAGAAGGAGGAGGAGGAGGAGAAGGAGGACCTGAGGAGGAGGAGGAGGAGGAGGAGGAGGAGGAGGAGGGGATTATCCCTCCTTCCCCCCCCCTCGAACCAGCAGTGCCCGCCGCGCGCAGGCAAGCCGCCGCTGCGCGGGCGAGGCCCACGCCGCGCAGCACGGGAGAGATCCACGCGACCCGCAGGCGGAGACCCACGCGCTGCACGCGCGGGCGGTCGTCGTCTTCCTCCCCCTCCTCGTCGTCCTGTTCTTGCCTCCTCGTCATTTTCCTCCTCGTGTCCCTCCAGCAACGCATGGTTGTTTTTTTGTTGAGAGGCTACGACTTCGTGCAGACGTCAATGTACGAGGCCAATCGGCGTCTTGCCAGTAACTCGAGCTCATGTTTATCAATGTGCCGTGCACCTTCACCGACTGGGAATTCCAGATCGTTTCATGACTTTGTTTTCCTTCTCTCCACCATGTTGTTAGTTACCTCGACTGGGCAATCGGCAGGGGGCCTCGTCGCCGATCCGCCTCGGAATCATCGTCAGACCGCGCACCAGGAGGGATCCAAAGGTCGACATTGAGGGTGGAGGAGGAGGAGGAGGAGGAAAAGGCAAAGGGGGGGAGGAGCAAGGTCAGAAAAATGAGCAAAAGAGTGTTGCAGAGGGCCGAAAGCCTGCAAGACCAGAGAAGAAGGAGGAGAAATAAAAAACAAGGAGGAGGGCGACGATGAGGACGACTACGATGGGGAGAGGGAGGGGGTAGAGCTGGAGCTGGTCTTGGCGTAGGAGGAGAAGGAGGAGGAGGTGGAGGTGGATGAGCGGGAGATGCAGGCTGCAGGCGCGGAAAGCAGACAGCCCAAGCGGCGTGTGATAAGCTCCCCTCCTTTCTGATAGCAACGCCGCTCATCAAGCGGCAGGGCTCGGCGCAGTGTGCAGCGCACGGACGCCGGCCTTCGGCTGCTCGTGGTGTCGGCGGCGGAAGGCTATGACCTTCCCCCTGTCGCCAGTAGAGCCTGCTGGCCCCGCGCGCCCGTGACGGCGAAGCGCCAGACCGCCGTTGATGACCAGCCTGTCCACCAGCGGGAGCCCGTCGCCGAGCGGAAGATCATCGTCGAGAGCAGCATCGATCTATCGATCAGAACAGGGCGCGAGCGACGGGGGCCGCTTCCGTCAGCGGGTCGACGCGCTGGGGCAGGCCACAGGGGAGGGAGAGACATCTGCCGGGGCAACCGCGGCTCCCTGCGGCTCCCTGGCAGAGGTTCGGAGGAACAACGTGTCTTTCAGCACTCACCAGCTTCAGTCAAAACGGCCACTGGGGGCGCACATCCCTGCACCAAGGCACGCGGCGTGCCGCGTTCTTCCACGAGGCCCGGCCACAGAAGGGAGCGGGAGGGCCAGCGACTTTTCGTCGGACACGATCGCAGGATGCACCGAGAACACATGCAGACCGTCAGGCGTTCGAGAATTTTGAATAGCGACCGCGTTTCGCATTGGTAAAATTGAACAAACTGGGGGATCACAGTCTAACCATCGATCCTGACTGGTTCGACGAGTAATGCTACCACGACTACTACCACCACTAACTGTCGGTTCCATTAGTGGTATTACCACCAATGCCACCACCATGTCGGCGAATACCCACTTTCATATACGACTGCTAGATTGAGCACTGGACTACGAGTATTAACATCGTGTAACGTTCATGTTATAGCGGTAGAGGCTTGGTCACACAAGGCAGTGATGACAAGCCTGACTTTTGTGTTGCAAGTGCTATAATATGCCGCCTGCCCTTCTCCCATTCCTGCGATCACATCCTCTGATTACTGCTGCCTTCGCTTTGCTTGTTTCATAAGTTCCCCTCCCCACTGGCGGTATGCCTGCCCCTGGGACTTCAAGCTTCGCTCACCCACTCCCCATTTGGGAGGCGGTCGAGGAGGCCTGCCGACCCTCCTACGCATCCCTCCTCATCATCCTTCCTCCTTCGCACCTGATTCATCCTGCCTCATGTTCCTCCTCCTTCTCCTCCCTCCACCTCCTTCTCTCCTCCCCCTCCTCATCCCTCCTCCTCCTCCTCTTCCTCCTCCTTTTCCTCCTTCTCCTCCTCCTCCGTAGCCACTTTGGCTCAAGATGGGTTGCTCGGGGGGCTTTCAGCCTCCGTGCTTCACTGGATCGCACTACCGTGCGCAGGCAAGAGTGTGTGCACTCTGGCAGTCGGGCGGCCTCCTTCCGTACTCACGCGCGCCATGGCGGGGAGCGGCGGCGTGGGTGCTGGGCGTGGGGGAGGTGGCCGTACGGCGTGGCCTGCGAAGTGGAAGTGCTCGGTGTGCGACTACTACAACTTCGCCGAGAGGACGTGCTGTCGCAAGGGGTGCCAGCCTGCGGGGTGGCCAGCGCCGCGGCAGCTGGGCGCCTTTCCTCCGCTACGTGGGTGGCATGCAGGCAGTGGCGGTGGTGGTGCTCCTGGCGGCGCTGGCGGCGGGCTCGGCGGGCGTGGGGCAGGCGGTGGCAAGCCTCCCACTCGTGCCCCGTGGTGGCGAGGTGGAGAAGGTGGCGGCCGTGAAGCTGGTGGCGCCGTGGTGCTCAGCGAGGAGCAGCGCTGTGGCTTCGTGTGCATGGCGGAGGCTGACTTCGCCCTCGCCGCCGCGCTCCTGCCCCCGAAGGTCCGCGAGCAGCTGCTGCAGGCACGGAGGCTGCGCGAGGGCGGGCTGGGGGCCGAGCTGTCCAAGGACAAGACGGTCAAAGCGGCCCAGGTGCTGGCGGACGCCAAGGTCGTGCAGGTCAAGAAGATGGAGGGCCAGCTGGAGCAGGCGAAGGCCAAGGCGGTGGCGGCCATCAACGAGTCGGTCAGCCTCGCGGACAAGTTGGTGCTGCTGCGGAAGGAGTGCGAGGAGGCGGCGGCCAAGGCACGTGAGGCGCTGGCGGCTCAGCGCGCCAGGATGGCGGCTGAGGAGGCTGAGGCGGCGGCAGCTGCCGCCGAGCCGAGAGCGGCTCCATCGGCCTCACTGGAGTCGATTCAGGAGGCGATCGGCCGCCTGTCGAGGGACGAGATCGCGAAGCTCGGGAAGGTGCTGGCGGAGCTCAGCGGCTTGCCTGGCGCTCCCGCCGCTGCAGGGGCGCCCCCTCGCGCGCCTGCGGATGCGGCGGTCCCCGCGCCTTCGGCGGTGCCAGCGGCAGCGCAGCAGGTGGACGCTCCCATGGAGGAGGGGCCTGGCGTGTCGCAGGCGGCGCAGCAGGTGTGGCAGGACATCGCATGCGGGATGGAGGACCCTGCCAAGAGGGAAGCAGCCGAGCAGCTGCTGGGTGACGCCAAGAAGATGCGGACGGAGGTCAAGCAGATGGGGGAGGAGTCCTAGCATGAAGTGTGGGGTCTGGAGGATCTGCACAGTCAACGTCAATGCGTTCTGCAACCTGGGCAAGTGCATGGCGGTGAGTGAGGTGCAGGACTGCGACGCCATCCTGGTCCAGGAGACGAGGCTCCTGGAGGGAAGGAGCAGTGATGCGGAGGCGCAGCTACGAAGCCAAGGATGGCGGGCGAGAGGCACGCCCGCGGTGCCGTCAGCGGCAGGAGGACTCAGCACTGGAGGCCTCCTCACCATGGTGAGGAGGAGCCACGGCATGGCGGAGGTGCAGGACCAGCAGGCAGCGGTGCTGGTGGCTGGGCGTGCGCACCTGTGCTGGGTGTCGGGCGTGCTGCGCAGCGGCTTCCTGCTCGCCAACATCTACCTGGAGGCGGGGGTCGGCCTCAATGAGAGCAACGTGTCCAGCCTCAGGAGGCTGGCAAGGAGGTTGAGGCAGTGCCGCAGGGACTTCGTGGTGGGCGGTGACTGGAACCTCACGGAGGAAGAGCTGCAGGCGGGCGGGGTGCCCGACATGTTCGACGGTAAGGTGGTCAGGCCTGCCTCGCCCACGTGCGCAGCGTCGGGGAGGACCATCGACTTCTTCCTGGTGTCCAAGGGACTAGCTGCGCTGGGTGTGCGGGTGGTGGAGGCCTCGCCAGTGCACCCGCACTCGGCGGTGATTCTCGAGATCCGCAGGCAGCAAGAGGAGGAGCGATTCAGGCTGGTCCAGAAGCCGCGGACCTTTCCTGAGGTTCGACCGCAGGGGTGCTGTGAGAGAGACCACGGCAGCAACTGGAGGCAAGCCAGGCTGAGGGTGCAGGAGCAGCTCGCCTCGGTGCTGAGGTTTGAGGGCGAGGCCGCGGCGAGGAGCACCCCATGTGCTGAGGAGGAGGCCCCTCAGCCCAGCAGCAGCGGTGGCGCAGCAGGACAGCGCGCGGCAGGCCAGGAGCCTCCCAGGCCAGTGAGGGGCCAGGGAGAGGAGGAGGTGGCCGCGGAGGAGAGATGGGGGCCGCTAAGCAGCGCGCTCCCGATCGCGCCTGCGCCGCCGGCCTGCGTGACGGAAGTGAATATGATGAGGTGCTGCGTCCAGCATGGCGAGGAGTGGCAGAGCATCCTCGGCAGCTGCGGGCTAAGGCGAGGAGTTGGCGCAGAAGGGCACGGCGCTGAACCTGGCGTTGAGGTCCAGCCAGCGCACCTCGGGGCTCTGGCGCCAGGAGTGCAGGGCGCCGACGCAGCGGGCAATGAAGGCAGCAGCGCGGCGGGCAACGCTGCGCAGGAGGCGCGGGCGAACATACCTCCCCATGCTGGGACTGGCGGTGCACCTCCGAGCCAGGCACTGTACGGAATAGCAGGTTGGCCCTTTCAGGTTGATGCGGCTGAAGGAGTGCACGCGAGGCCCCCCAGCCTCTGGGTCGAGAAGAGGCAGGCGATCACTGCCGCCGAGGAGGAGGCCTCTCAGCCCAGCAGCAGCAGTGGAGCAGCAGGTCTGCGCGCAGCCAGAGCAGGCCAAGAGCCCCCCTGCCCAGTGGAGGGCAAGGAGGGTGAGGAGGTGACTGCGGCGGAGGAAGGGGACCCCCTAGGCAGCGGGATCCCGACCGCATCTACGCCGCCGTCCTGCGTGACGGACGAGAAGCTGATGAGGTGCCGCGCCCAGCAAGGCGTGGAGTGGAAGAGCTTCCTCGACAGCTGCGGGCTACGGCAGGAGAATGGTGACGAGGCACCTCGCAGCGAGGTCCAGCCAGCGCACCTCGGGGCTCTGGCGCCAGGAGCGCATGGAGCCGACGCAGCGGAGAGAAGGGGCAGCAGTGCCGCAGGCAGCGCTGCGCAGGAGGAGCAGGCGGACATTCCTCCCCATGCTGGGA